TGAACCAAAGTAGCAGTTGCCCCCATAGTCCGTACGCCCAGTACAATGTCTTAACAATCTGCACAGCTATATAAATAACCCATGTCTATAATATTGTGCTATTTTTTTGTGTGGTAGTGCTTGTGTTTAATTTACAGATTCAGGATTGGACCTTCCAGGTTTAATTTTTGCAAACGTTTCCTCTTATTTTTCCCAGATTAAAGATGCACTGGCTATGAAAGACAAGAAATACAACATTTTGCCTATGCTGGGCAGCTGCAATGTGTTCTCTGTTACATTACTGTGTTCACTTCTCTGGTACGTCTATGATTTCTAACATAAATCCTTTAAGCATTAAAACCAAAAGATGATCATATCAATAATGGTCATACTTCACACTTTCCTTGACAGATAATGCCCAAATTACAATCAAAGTGCATAATTGTTTGTTTTTTCCAATCATATGGCTATTCACTTTGTTGTTATCAATGTCTCTGCAGGATCATCATCACTATTAGTTACTATGCTTTACTCCTCAACACTTCAAACTTGCACGGGGACCCTTTCATAAACTGCTTCTTGTCTGCTGTGATGGAAGTGCCAGCTTACATAATTGCCTTGTTACTACTCCAGTACTGCTCCAGGCACTTCTGCCAATCGTCTACACTCTTCCTTGGAGGCGTTATGATCCTCTGTGTTCACCTCATTCCAATAGGTAATGTTTAAATGCTTTGGCTCCTGAAGCATATGATGTTGATTAGGAAACAAGTTAGTGTCATCAGGATTTATTTTTTGTACATATTTTGTCACCAAAAACATAACAAGAGCCATGCCAGCGCCTCTGTGAGGCTGTACTTTAGGAAAAGTGGTGATTTAATGCTAAAGTCATCATACAGACATGCTCACAATGACAGTGCTGACTGATGTTAAGCAGGTGCTAACATGCTAACCATTTGCTAATTAGCGCTAAGCACTGAACCCTCGCAGAATCTGTGACATCCCTTTAGTGTGTAAGTGCAGGACGATGTGAGAGCTCCATCACTGTTTGATAAAAAAAACACTTGGGCAAATTGATAAATGTTCACATGGGGGGAAGTAGAAGAAATTCCTTTATGGACTTTAGATATTTTGTGTTTAACTCATGTGACATTTTTAGTGTTTGCTGTAATTAAAGTTGTTTTGTTGTTTTTTTTCTTAGATTTACCAGGTGTTGCTGTGTTTCTTGAAATGATGGGAAAGTTTGGCATTACATGTATGCGGTTTCATCAGAGCTCTTCCCCACTGTTATCAGAAATACAGCAATGGGATGTTGTTCAATGGCTGCTCGTGTTGGAACTATCATCTCCCCCTTTATCATTTATCTGGGTAAGTATATTTCGTTTTATATTTTGAGCCTTTAGCCAGTGACAGGACAAATTCTCCGACCGAAAAAATTCTGTGGTATAGAGCTGTAATAATTAGTTTATTAATTGATTAGCTGAGCGATAGAAAAATAATTTTCTATTTTGATAATTGTTTCAGTAATATAGCCTACACCATAACAGTAAATTGAATATGTTTCAGATTGTTAGTCAAACACAACAATCAAATGAATCAATAATGAAAATAATTGTTAGTTGCAGCCCTACTGCAGTATGAAGTTCTTGATTAAAATCTGTTGTCTTGATGTCAAGATTTAGTTTCCTGCAAAATGTGTATTTCTAATTTATGTTTTCTCTTCCCTTCCCGTGGTATTTTTTGCTTCTTTTTTGCAGGACAATACTACAAGGCACTCCCATACATATTGATGGGAAGTTTAGCCATTTCTGGTACCTTCTTATGTCTCCTGCTGCCAGAAACATATGGGAAGGCTTTGCCAGAGACCATATCACAAATGCAGCCGATATGCAGGTGAGTTTACATACTGGACATACTGTATGTTTATAGCAGTATCCACATAGATGTAGATACTGCAAAGATCACATGACTTTCAGATCAAAATTCAGGGAAATTAAAGTTAAGCTTTTACATTTTTATGCCAGATTCTTATTACGTTGGGAGAAACACTTTATACCACTGTCACTGGGAGAAATGAATGAAATTAAAAAAAATAGTTAACTGCAGACAGTTTTAATGATTGACACAGAATTACTATTTACCTTATTTTTATGTTATAGCATATATCTTGTGAGGCCTTTTGTGAACTGCTTCATAAAAGTGCTACATAAATACGTTTTATTTTGTTGTTCTTACACGTGCAGCATGCTAAGCTGTGTGTATTGTTATGAAGAAACCTAAGAGTTGACCTGACATGATCTTTAATGTTGCTGCTGTTACACTGTTACTAAATGTCCTCTCAATGTTCTAATAGGAGGAGAGGGAAACAAGAAAAGGAAGCTGAAAATGAGGAGAGTCCAGACGATTATCAGAGTAAAGAATCCAAGTTGTAGTTTTGTTTTGTTTTTTATTTTTTACTGTGAAAGATTCTGTAATGAAATGATGGTGATGGTCAGGTTTGACTGTAACTACATGTAATACATTATTGCCCTATTTACCTTTTTGCTTATTAAAATGCTTTGTTTTATGTGAAGTTCTGTTTTGTTGGAAATATCCTTTATTGTAACTGCATTTTTAACCCATGTAACATACTGTGAAACACTAGTTTTGTTTAAAAAATGGATTAATTAAAAACAGCTTTAAGCAGCCCTCTCTTAGCATGTTTTAATGTGTCTTGTATGCTTTCATAATTTTTCTTAGGTTTGTTTGTTAAAGCATGTGCATTTTCCCAAAAGTAATAAATCAGATTTAGAGGTTTTTTATTGTCTAACCCAAATAGTTGCATGTTTTATTCAGCACTAATTTGTTAGTCCTCTGATTACATTTGTTTGTTTTTATATTGTTATTATATATATATATATATATATATATATATATATATTATATATATATATATAAAGTAAAACACATAATATAGCTCAATACAATAATGATTTTTTTTATGTCTAGTTTGTCCTTTGGATCATTAAGTATTTATGATTGTTTAAAAAAAATGAAGAAAATAGATATAAAACGTAAAGAAAGCTCATCTCTGATGTAACATTCACAAGACATAATCTTTCTGCAGTTATTGTGTTCCCTATTTAATTGCACATTTTTATCAGTTATTCTTTTCTGTTATTGTTATGCATTTAATATAATATAAAATATCCACAAAATATATCTCTTAGTTAGGGGTCGTCAGTTCACTCAATGGTAGAAAAGGGGGGGTTCTTTAAAGAAAAGGGTTGTGGGAACCACTGCTCTGCAGTTACAAAGGGCCCAGAGGGACTGAACATGCCTATTTTAAATAAAGTTTGTTTGTGTCTTGATTATGAAAAAAAAAAAAAAAGTCAGACCATCCTCTCAATGAGTCAGACTCACTAGTCTGCAGAGCACAAAGAAGCCCTCACCACTGCCAAGGGGTTCTCGACGGTACGCAGTAGCGAGCACCAGCAGGGGGCACTGTGGCCTGTTTGTCGCTGATTTCGCCCCCTTAGTACCCCCTTAACAGGGCCCCCGCCAGCCACTCTGAGTCAATTTGGATGCGAACAGGTACAACACCAGGAGTTTTAAAAATCTGCCTGCTCTATTTCTTTTACCCTGGCCTAATGTGTGTTCTCACTCAACATCTCAACCCTCAAAGTCTGACAGAGTCCTGCTGTAAACTGTGCAGTGAAATATAGAGTTTTTTTGGACATTTCATATACGCTACAGTGGATTCATGTCATTTTTACTGGATTGGATTCAAACTAAAAGCTGCTAGATGAAAACATCATTGGTTGTTTATTAGGCTTGTTATAGATGCGGGCAATCTGACCTTTTTATTGAAACACAAGTTGTTTGTTGCTGCTTCTGGTGTAGACCGCCGTGTCTGTGTGGTTATTGTAGGACATTTATAGTAAATATAGTAGAACACACATTGCTTTTAGACTTGTAGCCTATTTTGTTGTCATGTGTGTGGTTGGTTGTGTGGTTGGATTGTGTTGGTCAGTGGTTCTGAATGCTGAATGGACATCAAATAGCCTTATGAAAATAAAGTAAGGGGCAACCAAACGCCAAACCTGATGGGTGTGATTTTCTTAATGACCTTGCTTCACTTTCTAGGTTTTGTTTGAAATCTAAATATCTGTCTGATTGATCATCTAATGTCTGGCACACAATATATGTGATTAATATGCGAACATATAAACAGTTTGAGTTATTTTTGTCAGAAAACAGATCCTGAATTGATATGGTTCTCCATTGTTGTTGCTCTGAGTGAAAAGAGGCTAATAAAGCAAGCTCTTTTCACTTAGCAATATTTTTACAACTGTAGAGAAATTCTGTTAACTTTTAGGTTTTCTAATAAAAGTCAAACTCAACATCTGTTGAATACAAATTTCTTTTATTGCGCATTGTGAAACGCACAATCACGTATTGTGCTGATCTTTGTTTCTTTGTTTAATGGGCCATTAAAATAGTATCCTACAGTCTGTCATATTCCCATGGCAATGGCTGTAAACTGTGATTACCAAACCAGATATTAACAGCAGTTGGAACATTCACAAATTGTATTGTTTGCAAGATGAAGTCATATGTAAAGGTTCTGATGAAACTGCAATGCACAATAACTGAATAAAAGTCCTCAGTGACAGGTTATCAAGGTCTGCAAAAGAGCCATAACTACGTTATCTTTAAACCATACAAAACGACAGTGTCCCTTAAAATGACAATAACAGGCCTCATTAATGTTTTACCTCTGCTTGAAAATGATTAACTGCTTTTCCAAAGATTTGTTACATCTTATATAATTAATATAATTTTCTTTTTAAGTTTGATAGAAAAAAATCTAAACCTAAATGATGATTTATTTGAAAACATTTTGTAGCGAAGCAAATTGAGCATCAGCTCAAGTAATGTTGTGTGTTTTTTGCACAGCGCTGTATGTAACTGTGTAACCTCCCAGTTAAGGTGAGGCTGGCATATAAAACCTGAACTTTACAGCTCACATGGCTCAAAGGCAGGTCATAGAGCAGTAGAACACAGTCTCCCTTGTGCCTCTCAGTATTAAATGTCTGCTTGTCTTTTTATTTCTTTTTTTTAATAATGGGCAGCTTAAAAATAAGAGACTATGACAGCATCACATCTTTTCTTGGATCTTGGGGAGCCTTTCAGCGAAGGATTTTTTTAGCACTAGCGATCAGCATCCTACCAAATGGGTTTGTTGGCATCTATATAGTATTTGTAGCTGATACCCCACCTCATGAGTGCTATATCCCTGGAAACTACAGCATCAAAGACATGTGGAGAAATGTGACGATTCCACTGGAAACAGTTGATGGCATTGCAAAGCGCAGCTCTTGCTCACGGCTTAACCTGGAAATCGTCAGGAACTACTCTCAAAGAAATATCATCCCAAATGTGGACGTGAATGTGAGTGAAATTCCTTTGGAGAGTTGTCTGGATGGGTGGACATACAGCAAGGAAATCTACCAGTCAACCATTGTCACAGAGGTGAGTGATAAGTCATCAGTTAACTTCCTTTTTAAATGTTATCAAAGTATCAAGGTATTAGTAGCCTTTTGGTGATTATGTCTACTTTTCAAGGAGCTTAAGGTTAATATAAATATACCTGAAAACCTAAATATCTAAAAATGTCTTTTGTTATTTTTTTTACAACAGGGAGTTAATGTGGTAATGAAAAATCTCAGACCAAAGATTTTTATAGTCCTAACTAAAATGAGACTTCAAAATGAAAGCACCCCAGTTACAACAGCACTTAATAGCAGAATTAAAAGAGTCAAACTTTGATTCATTACTCAGGAAAAGAAAAGAGTATGTACATTTTGCAATGGATTGGGTGACATTGGTTAGTGTTTCACTCCTGTGGTGGCTATTTGTTAAATAAAGCATACAATGTAGGATCTTGTCTTTCTGTGAGGTTTTGTTCAAGTCATCCATGAATGGACTCAACGCATCTGTCACACACTCTTGTATGTAAAAGTCCGAAAGAGAGGAAGTCATATAGAGGAGTTCAGCCTAGGTGAAAAATGTATTATTTATTGCAGTTTGTGCAGATTTCCAGGATGTCAGTGAAGAAACATGTTATAGCCTAAACTTAGAAGCTCTGACCGGCTTGATAGCCACAACATAACACAACACCGGTTAGAGGCAAATATATATATATATATTTTTTTATTTTTATTTTTTTCAAATATCATCAACATAATCAAATAAAACTGTTCTTTTATGTTGTGTTACAGTTTGTGATGTTTCTCGTTTACACGTCTGTACTAGCTTGTCAAGTTTTCATAGTCAGTGCAACCCCATTTTGTAAATTACCTGTTAATGGTTACTAAGAATTATGGATCAGTTTTACTCCCAACCCTTTTTATTTGGCAAGGTTTTATTCCACTTAAAGAGAGCAGTTACTTGAGTAATCTTCAAGTTTATCTTGAGTGGTTCTCCACTGCGGCCCTCTGCCCTCCTTTGACTTTCTCTGACCGAAATCTGATGTTTAGCGGTTAAGACTATGACTGAAAAAATGATTCACTTTTGTCAAGTGTTTAAAAGTGATAATAACTAAAATGTGTTGATTTTGCAGTGGGACTTGGTATGCGAGAATGGATACAAATCTCCGCTGACAACTTCTATCCATTACATTGGTGTGCTAGTGGGAGCCTTTGTCTCAGGCCAGATTTCTGACAGGTACGTACTGTCCACTACATTGTCTGAAACAGCAAAAATGTTCTCTTAGAGATAAAGAACAATCATGAAACTTAGTCAGCTACAAACTGTGTGTCTTACACAGGTTTGGAAGGAGGCCAGCTCTCTTTCTCATGATGGCTCTTCAGAATGTGGCGATCACAGCGCAGATATTCTCCCCGAGCTGGGAGATCTTCACCCTCATGTTCTTCTTCGCGGGTGCAGGGGGATTCTCCAACTATACCATTGCATATGTGCTGGGTAAGTTTTCCATTAAGGATTTTGAACATACAATAACCCAAGTGACCTTGTAGGTAAAACAGAAAAATGATTCTCTGACGAATGTTCTCGTTCTAGGAGAAGAGAAATGACACTACTTTATTATTATTATTAATAATAATAATAATAATATCATGATAAGTTCCCCTTACTGTATTACACCTGCAGGTACAGAAACTCTAAGCCCAAAAGCCAGAGTGGTCTTCTGCTCCCTTGGGGTTTTTATGAGCTCTGCTTTGGGGTATATGGCAATGCCAGCTGTGGCTTACTTCCTCCGTGAATGGCGGTTACTGCTGATACCCATGGCTGCCTCTGGCCTGATCTACATCCCTCTGTGGTGGTAATGATATTGATTTGTTATTTAAAATTAGATAAGACGCACATGCTATGATAGCTTCCTCCATATTGTTTTCTGGTCCCTTAAAGGGAAACATCACCAAAATTGTTGCTGCTAGGATTATGGTGAAGGACCACAAACTGGTCTGGTTTGGTACACCTGCATCTCTGTGTGTATCTGTGGATAATGTTGTACCCCTGTGTTTCAACTCTGCAGGTTGGTCCCGGAGTCTCCTCGCTGGCTGCTCTATCAGGGAAGATTGAAAGAGGCTGAGGCCATACTGAGAGACGCCGCCAAGGCAAATAACATAGAGGCTCCGCAGGACATTTTTACACAAGATGAGGTACGTTCATCAGCTAGTTTTTATTTTTAACGTGTGATAAACATAAATGATACATGCCTCAGAAGTCCTAAAATGTTTATTAGTTTGAAATTAATCTAATACTTTTTTCATGTATAGCAGTGTTCCTGTTATGTCTTGACTCACTAGTGCATTTAAGTTTAGCGTGTGATTCTTAATTGCCCTGTTTTTATTATATATTATATTATATATTTGTAGGTATTACGTCATTGTGTTTGGTTTCCCTGAATTAACCTCGAAACAATGTTGGCCGCTCAGGGAATTTTCTTTGTGACAGTGTATACAGAGAATTTCAGTCTGTTCATGTCGTATTCTAGAGCAACATCAGTCTGCTGCCATTCTGGTGATTCTATCAACACCTATATTATGCTAAATACTTGGAGCAAATGATGATGTGGGATATTAATTGCATCTGCAATTTGTTTGAATGATCTATGTGGAAATATGAATAATTCATGTCTACAATACCATGATATAAGTTTGTGTGGCAGGGATTGTGTTTCATATATATAGTATCAGGGTGGGACCTTTCAGGTTTGATTGGCATTTCTTCTTGTTTTTCCCAGGTCGAAGATGCACTGGCTATGAAAGACAAGAAATACAACATTTGGGTTATCCTGAGCAGCTGCAATGTGTTCTCTGTTATATTACTGTGTTCATTTCTCTGGTATGTCTATGATTTCCTCATGACATAAATACTTAATACCTTCCTTAACAGCTCATGCCTAAATTAGAATCAAAATGTGTTGGTTATAATAGATAATAAATACAGTTGGGTTCTCCCTGAATAAAGATTTTCCTAGACGGCTGGCAGCCATTAACTAAAACCAACAGTCAGCTAGTCGTCGCATGTTTATAATATGAATTTAATTATTTGAATATATATAAAAAACCTGTTACATGATAACAGAAAAAGCAGTATTGATTCGGAATGTGTCAGAAGATCCAGCAAGGATATTGAACATTTAGTTACTTTCTTTCAACACAGGATATCATCACACAGTCTTGTTGTTCAAAACCACTTCCAACTTCGCAAAAACAAATACTCACAGCCTCATCAATACGATGGATGATGTATAATGTTAACATTTACTTACAAAATACCTTGCTACAAAGTTGCTCCTCTCCCTCCATTTCATTCCTCTCCTGTCGCTGGCTGAACCCGCCGTGTCTGCCAAAATCAAAGCCCTGGTCGGAGGTGCTGTATCCCCCACTCCTACACTAGTAGAGCTCCCAGACCAGGAACAGACAGCTAATAAGACCGCTAACTAGTTAGTGGTAGCAGATAATACAATTGACATATGCAGCAGGGTCCCGCTGACAAGGCGCAGCTCTCAAATGGAGTTTGACATCGTTTTTGTTTTTGCAACTATCTGACTAATCAAAAGTGCCTCAACTAAGACTCTTCTCAGTGACTAATGATTAAGTCGACTATTAGGCGGCAGTTGCACCCTTAAGTGTTTGGATTTTGGTTTAGTTTTTGGTGTTTCCTATCCTGTGTTTTCACTTTGTTTTGACTTTCTCTGCAGGATCATCATCACCATAAGTTACTATGCTTTAATCCTCAACACTTCTAACCTGCACGGCGACCCTTACATGAACTGCTTCTTGTCTGCTGTGACAGAAGTGCCAGCTTACATAATTGCCTTATTACTACTCCAGTACTGTTCCAGGCACATCTGCCAATCTTCTACACTCTTCCTTGGAGGTGTTATGATCCTCTGTGTTCAACTCATTCCAATAGGTAATACTCAAAGTAGACAGGCAGACAATTTAACATCATAATGGATTTATTTTTTCACCAGAAATTTAACAACACTAAGAGCCTGCAGCTTTGTTAGCTGCTCTGTGAGGCTGTACTAAACTAGGCATACAAACATGTTCTCAATGACAGAGCTGTATGCTGATGGTTAGCAGGTACCTCCATATCCATCTTATTTTAGAATGCCAACGTGCTAACATTTGGTATTTAGCACTAAATGCAAAGAGTTGCAGACTTAGGGAAAGTTTTTATAAAGGGCTCCAAAAGTCTGTGACCTCAAACCAGTGTCACAGTGGGAGTAAGAGAGGCGCATTGGAACTGGGCCAAAGTACAGCTGAGGCTGATGGGAATGTCAGTACTTTGGCAGGTATTTGGTCTGCTGATGGCGCATCATTCATCCTCTGGAAGCCATGAATGTCTGTACAAAATTTCATGGCAATCCATCCAATAATTATAATAAATGCGACTAAATCCCACATACTGGTCGTTTAACGGACTTCAGATATTTTGTGTATGTCATTTGACTTTTTTAGTTTTTGTTGTTATTAAAGTTATTTTTTTATTTTCTTAGATTTACCAGGTGTGGCTGTGTTTCTTGAGATGTTGGGGAAGTTTGGCATTACATCCGCATTTTGTGTGGTGTATGCGGTTTCATCAGAGCTTGTCCCCACTGTTATCAGAAATACAGCAATGGGGTGTTGTTCCATGGCTGCTCGTGTCGGAACCATCGTCTCTCCCTTTATCATTTATCTGGGTAAGTATATTTAGGGACCGAGCCAGTGACCGCTGGAGGTCCCTATTGGATTTGCTGTGTTTCTTCTTCTTACCTATTATTATTATTTTAAGCCCCTTTGACTGCATTTTTGCCCCCCTGAACATATACGAAAACTCAATTTTATTTGGCAAAGTTGTCAGGCCTGAGGAAAATGGGGATATTCTATGCGTCGCTTTCAGGTTGGCCACTAGGTGGCACTACTATCATAAAAAATGTGTTTAGCCTAATAACTTCTGCATAGTTTGTCGCACATTCAAAAACCTTGTATCCACGTGTTTGGTAAATAGAGCTGAATCTCCTCATATAGCCCACCCACTTCCGCCTATCATTTTTCTCTGTTAGAGCGCGAAATGTCCATAAACTACTTTTTCGTGTTCCTCCCATACGCTTTGTCCGATTCGCACAAAAAATTTCACAGGAAATCTGGGGACGGTCCTAATAAAAAACTAATTCAAAGAATTTTGATATTTCAAAAAATAAGCACGTTATAAAATTAGCACTTCCTGTAGATTTTTCGTCAAAAAAAGGAAGTGTACCATTTCTCCACATTGGTATGTCCGATTGACACCAAGCTTGGGTCGATAGTTCCCCATGTCTTCCTTAGGCATCTTGCACAATTTCAGGCTATCACCACAAGATGGCGCTCTTTAAAATGAAGAAGTTTATATCTCTGCAACGGCACGTGTGATTAAAATGAAAATTGGTGCGATCCTTGCCCATGACACCCTAAGGCTCGCTAAAAAATGTGTCAACAATCCGCCACTAGGTGGCGCTCTGGTGGCATGGTAAATCACTGTGCGGAGACGGTAATATTTATGAGTATGAAATTCACAGGGCACGTGAAGACTGGTGCCTGAAGCTCACATACCAAAAATCGTGTTTGTAGCGCCCCTTACAGGATAAGAAAAAAGCAACCCCGGCACCACGTTTCACCGATATGTATGAAACTCGGTAGGCACGTGTAACATGCCGAGACGTACAAAAAAGCCTCTTGGACCCATACCCCAAACCCCACAGGAAGTCGGCCATTTTGATTTAGATTTTCACTTTTGGTGAACTTTTCGCGTTGTATTTGAACGAACTCCTCCTAGGGAATTTATCGGATTTGCTTCAAATCTGTCAGTACAGTCAAAAAATGGTGCTGATTAAAAGTTGTGCTATTTGTGCATGTACATTAAAGGGCGTGTCCGTGGCATCAAAGTCAACCATTTTTAATTCCGTGCTCATTTTCTGTGATTGTTTGCCTTGTATTTGAACAAACACCTCGTAGGGAATTTGTCGGATCAACTTCAAATTTAATCAGCGCAATCTAAAGACATTCATGATTAAAAGTTGTGCTATTTACGACATTCCGTCAAACGGCATGTCCGTGGCATCAAAGTCAGCCATTTTGAATTCCGTGCTCATTTTCTGTGATTTTTCGCCTTGTATTTGAACAAACTCCTCCTAGGGAATTTATTGGATCTACTTCAAAATTGGTCAATACAGTCAAAAAAGGGTGCTGATTAAAAGTTGTGCTACTTGAGACTGTACATTGAAGGGCGTGTCTGTGGCATGCCGTCAAAGTTGGCCATTTTGAATTGTGTGGTCATACAAACTGTAGATGAAAAGTTGAGCTATTTGTGACTGTACGTCAAACCACGTGCCAGTGACGACTTGTAGAATTCAGCCGATTCGCCATAAAACAGAACTCATAACTTCAGTGTGCAATGTCCAATCTCCAATAAACTTCATATATTCTGTAAGTCTCGCCCTGAACATGTCCTCATAACTTCAGCGTACGTGGTCCAATCTCAATGAAACTTAACGTGTTTGATAACAATCCCGCCTTGAACACGTCTACATGACAATATTCAGACATAGTGATAGCGGCACCCACTGGCAACAGGAAGTAAGCACTGCGTGGCAATTTTGAGCTGATTTACGTGAAATTTTCATGTTGTGGACGTGTTGCGACAGCACGTGACGCGGAGTGCGAGGTCCTGCCCAACGCTGCTTACAGCTTTAACTCGTTTTATATTTTGAGCATTTAGCCAGTCACTGGGGAATAGTTTTCTTATTTCTGTCAATAATCATTGTACAGAAAACATAGTAATAGTGTTTTAATCAAAATTACAGTACAGGTGTTCTAATTTTCTAACTTGTGCTTTCTGTGTCCTTCTCTTAGTATTTGTGCTTATATTTTATACTACAGGACAATACTACAAGGCACTGCCATACATATTGATGGGATGTTTAGCCATTTCTGGTGCCTTCTTATGTCTCCTGCTGCCAGAAACATATGGGAAGGCTTTGCCAGAGACCA